TATGCTCTGCATTTTTGTGTTCTTCACCACTGTGGGCTATAGTTGCCACAGACCGGGACCTCACATTGTCAAGAGGAGGCACCAGGAAACTGTTTGTGGGAGAGAAACATGAATGTAAGCTAAGCATGAGAGAACCTGGGCAGGGGGCCAAAAGCAACTCTGTGATGTGCAGAGCGTTATGAAGTTGGAGGAACAGCTGATGTCTTGGGCCACGCTGTTTCACTGGTTCCCAACTCTGTGTCCAGACATCGCTGTCAAACTTGTCCTGGGAATTGGCAAATTCAAGCCACCAGGGAATGCGATGAGAATAGTCGTAGAACTCAACATAAAACGAATGGATTAAATTAAAGCTTATAAAAACATAGGAGGCCATAAATGTGCAAGGGAACTTGAGCTGGAATGGTCGCTGTTGCCTTTATGGGCAGGGAAACATTACAAAGATATATAAATCTGCATTCCGGCAGAATTGAGATCCAGAATGGTGAATAGGCGCCTGCTGATTTGCTATCTTATATCAGCTCCCCACCCCATCAAAAGCAAAAACTGAGAATGACTGCATAAGGACTTCGACCAATACCCCAAGGGAAAACACAATTTAACATTTACTCTATGCCATTTATATTGCCAGTAAGATCATGTAATCATATTATTAGTATTATTATTCAGCATCATATATTCAACCATTGCTGTAAAAATGGATATAAAGGTGCCATTCCCTTGTTTTATTGTAGCCCCCACCTTGACGCCCCAGCTGTTTTTCGGGCACGGTAATAGCGCTTACACAGCAGGTCATAATTTAGTTTGGTGGGATAATGAATGCAAGACCGAGAAAGGATAAAATACAGCTCAGTCATTTTACAGGAATATTTTGATTTCCAAATCGCCCACATTGCTTGACAATTCAACATTGAACTATGGTTCCTATCCATTTTCAGTTCAAGTCAATTTTTGTTTATCAGTTCAGTGTTACAATTATCTTTCCCGACATGTCTTTGAAAGATGTTTTGGGGGGATTTTATCTTAATTAAGGAAGGAAATATTATTCTGTCTGTGGGGGATCATATTTTATGTTCATAACTCTTGACTGAGCTGTCCAAATTGAGTTTGGCCCCAGGCATAAGTTGTCCTAAAACTTCTAAGGGATCAGAAACATTCCAGTAAGGAGAACCTTGACATGTGTTCTTGACTGTCTCATGGGGAAAACAAAAACCTATTCAACAGCAATTACTCTTTTCTGTCTAATGGTGGACTGAGTTGTTAAATCTACTTTATTGTTGTTGTTTGCTTATCCCTTTGAATCAGGGATGTTTCATTGTGTCACCATACAATCTATGACTGTGATTAGTACCAGAGTTACAATCAGTAAAGTTAACTCTGAAAGTAGTGAAGTTTTTTTCAATTGCACACACTCATTCCCAATTCAAATTTAAATGACTTTTCATGAAAATGTGTAGGCTTGTCATTTTAAAGTGACGTTTGGGGAGGAAACAAGATGAGTAGGGTCGAGCTGTCAGGAAATGTGCAAAATAGAAATGCCATTGTTTATTATTCCCTGGTATTGTTAAACAGCTATACTGAGTCATTATGAATAAAGTGAAAGGATAAAGCTGCCATTTATCACTAGACAGTGGATGTAACTGTACGCCTGTGGCAGTTTTATGGCTCGCTATCTGTGTAATTGCTCACCGTGATGCAAAGAATCACAGATGGCTTTTTTTCCCTTTTTTGAAGATGATAATTAGAGGTTTTGTGCTGCAGTTCAGATCAGATAAAAAAGAAACGGGAAATAGTCAAACATGCATCTTCACGCTTTCCTGTTCTGGCTTGGCTGCTGTCAAACAGATTCATGCTCAACACCACAAGGGCCATTTTTTTTTTGACTGAGGATCAAATGTAGTTTATTTATTGCTAATAGTGAAGGCTTGTTTCCATTGACTTATATGGTTGAGAGGAAAGAAACCCGCTTTCTGAGACTAAGACAACTGTCTTTGACCCCAAGATACAAAATGTATCAAGCCTTATAGGTGAAGTCAAGCGAAACATTTTCTTAACAATGACTGTACCGATACATGTTCTATGTGGCCCGACTAGTCTAAAAACTGAATATTTGCGGAATGAATTGAACTAAGCAGAAAAAGCGTGCCAATTTTTTTTAATACATCTCAAGTGGCGGCCGCTTTGCCACTTGCTTTCAACTGAAAATGACATTACGTTTAATCAGGGCCCAGGTAACTACTAATCACCTCTCGCTTTGCCAACCTCAAAAAAACAGATGAGCCATGAGTGATTGTGACTTCTCCTTGAAGGCTGAATGCTTTCCAAAAAACACACCTTTCAGTTAAAGTTAAATGCCACAGTGTTGATTTTCAACTGTAGTCCATCCCTGCATCAACAGTGTGTGTGTGTGTGTGTGTGTGTGTGTGTGTCGATATCTCTCTCTCTCTCACTAATATATATATATATATATATAGAATATAGATAGATAGATATGTCTGCCACCCTGTAGTTGAGTGGTTAGCACGTCGACTACACAGTGCAGAGGTACCGAGTTCAATTCCAGCTCCGGCCTCCCTGTGTAGCGTTTGCATGTTCTCCCCGTGCTTGCTTGGGTATTCTCCGGGCCCTCCGGTTTCCTCCCACATTCCAAAAAACATACATGGTAGACTGATTGAACACTCCAAATTGTCCCTAGGTGTGAGTGTGAGCACGGATGGTTGTTCGTTTATGTATGCCCGGCGATTGGCTGGCAACCGGTTCAGGGTGTCCCCCGCCTGCTACCCGATGACGGCTGGGATAGGCTCCAGCACCCCCCGCGACCCTAGTAAGGATAAAGCGGTTGGGAAAATGGATGAATGACTGAATGAATGAATATATATATCTTCCAATGCATTTCAAATGGCCGTCATACTATTCGCTGAGGATATTTACGATGCGCAGACTGGCCCATGAGTCGCTGTCCCTCACGACGAGCGAGGGTCGATTGTGCTTGTATAAATATACAAACACAAAGGAGGAAAGACAGGACAAGGAAGTAAAACTCACTGAACTTCCTCAAGTACTTTGGCTTTCCCATGAGATGAGCTGGCTCACTTGGCTATTCAGAACTGTTGACTAGTTTACAAAGAAGGACTGTATCGCGCGTCAGCTGGGCCCTTGCATTTAGTCAACAAATTCCTACCACATTAGGAAACAGGCCACTGTGTCTACCCAGCACATCTTACATACCATGAGGATCATTCCATAAAAAATAAAGCTGAGGCCCTGGAAAAGGTTTCTAAGATCACGCAGGATATCTAAGATAAGAACAAGTTCTCTTCGTGGAAGTGGTGGCACATTAAGTTATGGGTAACAAATGAAGGTAAAAATATATAAATGTGATCTGAAGTGATTACAATTTTTAGTTAGGGGTTGGGCCATTTTGGGACCTGAGCAGCTGCAATACGGCTATCGCTATATGTTGTTTCTGCAAGTCTCTCCAAGGGGAAAAGGACATCCCTTAGTTTGTGTTCAGTTCTGGAGGTTGAGTTTCATTGGAGGAATAATTCATACATTCATTCATGTTCGGAACTGCTTATTCTATTCAGTCAAGCAGTTCTGTCCAGTCAACCGCAGATAATGTACTGTATCTTAAGCGCCACAGGTTTTCCATATTTACTCCATCTGTTGGAAGAAACCCTCTGACTCACGTTGAAATTCATCCTTGTTTTGTTTTGTTTTTTTCTTTGTAGGGAAAAATTTCAACCTCATCGCCAATTTTCTGAAGCGCCACTCCAACCTTCGATGTATCGTCAAGCCACACCATGGTGGTATGCGACCTATTTGTTTTCAAATCCATTTCCACTGAATCAGAAATGGAGTTTTCAATGACTCATGTTGAGCCAAATTTCCCACAGAAAGACCAAAGCCATTTGGACTCTCCATGTTGATGTTTCTCCCCCTCACTTATTTTTATGTCCTGCCTCTACCTGCTCTGGGTGTTGTTGGGAACCAGCAGACATTAAGTGGTTCCCGTGAGAGGCCACTGTGAGTCGGAGAGTGAGAGAAATTGTCTAGGAGTGCAGTTGAAATGTAGCTCCATGGCCCGTGTAGTTTCTGTGACCCTTAGCCACCTTTTCATGGGACCAACACAGTTCTCTTCCTGTCAGCAAAGTTAAAATCCGATCCCTCGGGGAGGGGATGTTAAGACAGTACTAACCTGCTGCACAATGAGATGATGGCTTTGTCAGCAGGTCTGTTACACATCAAATTAGTCAGTCTTTTGGGGTCAGAGGTTGTCGCACAATGATGTACCGGTACATTATTTTCAGTCCATTTAAAATATTTCCTCGGCCATCATATAAGTCTTTTTAGCCAATTATACTGCAAGACAAGTAATGTTGTGGCAGATATTTTTATATACAAAATAATTTTGGCACCTTTTAAATTCGATGGTACTTGTTTAAAACAACCAGACTTGAGGTTGCTATTCTCAAATAAGTTCATCTTTAATGAAGGACATCAACATTTGTTACTTAAAACTCCAAGCAATAAATCTAATGCAGTTGTGGCAATGCAATTTTGTTTTAAATAATGGAAAGTAGCTCGAGAGCTAATATTTCATGCTCATCAAACTTTTCAGCTATGGACGTACACTGTCACCTTCTATTTAATCTGAAGGAAAGTCACTGGTATGATTTTGTCCCAACCACCACATTTCCTTCTGTCTGACATTGATTTATGATTAAAGCTGAGACCACAATATTTACTATTGTGATCTGTGTTATTACTTTGCTTGCCTGCAGAATTGCGTGTGTTTCCTGAGCGCTACGTTGTGTGTGCAAGCCGTCGAGAGGATGCCGCAATGCACTGTTCAAAACCAAGCCCAACCGCAGTGAGTGTTGTTTATACTATATTTCCTCCTCCAGGCGCCTGGCAGAAGATTCTGAAAAAGAAAGTGTTGCCAAGCGTTGCTCTCACTTTATATATGGTGGTCTTGACAGAGGCTGAGGTTGACAGAGATTTGGAGTCAGACTCTTTCAAAAAGTCCCTCCTGCCAATCACCTGAGCCGGAATTGAATGAAAGGAATAATAATAATAATAATAATACTTAAAAATATATATTTATAAATCAAAAACATCAACATTCCTGGGCAGACAAATAAAAGGCTGCAACTAATTTCACTTTTTCTTTCTTTATTTTTATATCATATGGGTGGGTCTCAGAATATATGGTCCAACCGGACGGTCAAACGCTGACCCACTGCAAGAGTTATTATTTTCTTCTTTTCACAATCAATCACCTGATTTCACTGCTTACAATACTGCACACATATTGCAGAGATCGAAAAAATAACTTGACTGAGATTTCTGTTGTCGTTTGCATGTGAATGTATTTTGAGTGGTGAAAAATAGCCGGCACGGCTACGTCCTCGTCTTGACATGACAACACCCCCATGTAATTAAGAGCTCTTCATACCCTTAAACTGCATCAAACTGCATCACTCGGGATGGGTACAAAAGATGGTGACCTTTTTGGGTATGGACCGATTTGGGTCGGTACTCCCAAGTACCAATTCACGTGAAATCAAACGGTGCTACGTGTCAAGCATGCGGTCCAGTTTTATTGGTAACAAACATTCAGTAAAACGGATCAATAGATTTCACGCTATGTCACGCTAGTTTCGTGCAGTATTTCTCCAGTGTATTCTTGCGAGTGTGTCAGCAAGAGTTTAATGGTGCACAGGTCCGCTGCAGGCAGTGCGTATTTTGCAACGCGAACAGTGATCGTTTGTTGGTATCTACCGTGCCTCCAATGTAACGCTAGTCAAATGACGGTCATTGTTCACCATTCAGTATTATTTTTAATTTGCGTGCTCAGTGCATTGTACCTTGGTACCGACTGCGCCAATATGACACAATGGAGTAGGCCGACGACATTCAACAATCTCAAATTTACTTTTGGGCTCTCATGTCTCAGTCTTGCACCATACTTGGTGAGAACCACCCATACAGTCACACATGCATACTCAAAGGAACATGTTAGTGATTACAGCGCAATCAAACGGTGTCATAGCTCGAAAAGTTGAACGTTTCACGTCTTGACCAAGGGCCACCACGCTGATGCTTTGATGCAAAAAGATGGTACCATGACCTAATAGTCCCTTGCAACAGGTCACTACAATCGAATGATTTCACAAACAGGAGACGTCTACCACAGTTGACATGTGTTTTGCCCTATTCCTTATGAATAAATGTTTCAAGGGCATTTTCAGCTCCGTTCACAGAGAGAGAAAGAATAGGATTGAGATATAAGAGCTCATCAAAGGCCACTTCAGGAGAGTACAACGTTCTGTTCATAGCTGTGCGTTTTGCCTTTTATCCCGTTCGACTCAAGAGCACCAATGACCTCCGGCTGAAACCAAGCTTGGCAGCACATTTTGCTCTCGGATGCCTCGGTAATCTTTAGAGTTGTACAGATTCAAGAGACAACATAATGGAGCCTCGTCCATTCGTACACAGTGGCCAGACAAAACTATTGGTAACCAATCTCACATTGGATGCTGAGATAACATGAGGAGACTGGAATTTGCCCAAAATCTTTTTCACATTCCACATCTGGGAGAATGTCCTTTTGACAGAACCGACTAAGCTTTTTGGCAAGTCACATCAGCTCCGTGTAAAAAACAAAAAAAACCCTTATATTTATGAATCATTGGATATACATAGTAATAGCAAACTGTCCATTCACCCCATAAAACGTCATAATGCATTGCATGATGCAGGATACATGGTACTTATGAAGGGCCATGTATATTTTGAATACACAATACCTATTGCAGTCGGTTAATAAAGAAGAATTCGGCACATTCAATTGGCTGAAGTGAGATATCATGTGGTTTGGTTACGGTATTTTTCTGTTGGCGTGGATAATGCGTGTTGAACTCTTGCCAGTATTACAAGCCCTTCAAGTTCTTTCTTGTCCATTCATATTACGAACAACAATGCTTTGGCCGGTGCTCATTTGATCCCAAACTCCCCAGTGTAGTCTGAGAATTGCTGGTGTATCTTCTCACCTTGGCACACACATCAAGCATGGACATCGCTCCCATTACATTCCATGACCAACAGCCCGCTGCTTTCGATGAGCTTTTTTTCTGTTGTTTCTCTTTGAAATGTCTCCGCCCTTTCCGCAGTTTGGCCTTCAATCAAAGCGGCGATTGTAATATTTTTAGTGGAGCACAGTCATCAGTGAAAAGTTCAGCGTAACCGATTTTTCCAGTTCAAAGAGGCCTTGCTGTCGATGGCATTCCCCTCGCCAGGTTGTGTTTCTTGGGCACATACAGTGGGAAAGCAGAGTCGCATTTCTGTGGTGGACTTTGTGCTTGGTTGACAAAAACAATTATTTGATTACGCCTCTGGCTGTTCTTCATTACTCATTTCCATGTTAAACTTAAATATTTAATTAAAAACAGTTCAGGAACATATTATAGTGTTGATGTATGGCTTGATTTTCCTGCTTATGAAATTAACATACCGTATTTTCCGCACTATAAGGTACTTTGGAATAAAATGAATGGCCTATCTTAAAACAGTTTTCATATATAGGGCGCACCGCATTACAAGGCGCACAGAATAGAAGCAACAATAGTGGCTGCGGTTGTTATGCATCCACTACATGTAGATGCGCTAAAGAGAATACAATACAATACAGCTATATTTACATAGAGTTTTCACAAACGCTCCAGCTGTAACAAAGCGCTTTACAGGATATGTAAAATACTGCATCCAAAAAAATCAGAATATTGATCCATATATATCAGCTTTTGAGAAAATTGAATGCTGTTAGGTGCGCCTAATAGTGCGGAAAATACGGTAGTCTTTTTGTGGTCTGTAAGTCAAACAAAACACATCTTTTATGCCCTACACTGTAAACTTTACCAAAAAAATAACAAATAAAATCACATTGTTTTTTTTACCGTCAATGAAAAGTGCTTCAACTCTTCTGGGAATGCTTTCCACAAGGTTTAGGAGTATGTTGATTGGAATTTTTCACTTGAGCACTCATTTCATTTGAGAGGTCACACACTGAAGGCCTGGTTCTCAGTCTCCACTCTAAATCATTTGAAATATGTTTTATCAGGTTACGGTTAGGACTTTAAGGCCAGTCAAGTTTATCCCGACCACGCCCTTTGTATTTCTTTACGGACCTTGCTTTGTGCAATGGTGCACAGTATTGTTTTTCAGATTTAGACACCTTCATTCGTATTTATTTGGTGCTTCCCAGTGCACCTTCATATTTGTTATAGGAACAGGAAGTAGCCTGGAATTGTCTGGAATATTGGCCTTTCATTACCAGTGAAAGGAACTCTGAAGCCTTTAGCCTACCAAATAGATTTTGGACAATTCTATGCTCCCACTTTAGTGGGAACAGTTTGTGGATAGCCCCTTTCTTGTTCCAACACAACTGTTCAGCAGTGCACAAAGTAAGGTCCATTATAAACACAGAGGAGGGAGTTTGGTGTGGACGATCTTGACTAGCCTGCACAGAATCCTGACCTCACCCCATTAGAACACGTTTAGGATAACCTCACAAATGCACTTCTGGTAGAATGCTCCCAAAATCCCAGAAGCACTCCTACACCTTGTGGAAAACATTCCGGGAAGAGTTTAAACGATTAGTGTATATGTTGGACTGATGTATTAACGATAGGTTATAGTTGGAATGTCATTAAATCCATCCACAAGTCAAGGCAGATGCTTTAAGCCAATACTTTTGGCTATAAAAATGTATTTCTATCAACGCATTGTTGACCAATAACAGTTACAACAACATAACACTTCAATTTTTCTATTTGATGATTTAACAAATACTATATGCACCACATGAAACAATAACACCAGCCTTGGTAACCCTGTGTTCAATTTGTCTGAAGTGTTTTCAGTCTGACGTTTGACTGAGATGAATTTGCACTGAAAGTCTCTGAGTCGCCTCAGCAAAGTGGCAACACATGTTACAGACGGATTCTTTTATTGATTTATTTTTTTAATGGCAACATTGCTGGTTTTCTTGGACAGATATGTGCCTGACAAGCCTTTGCGCCTCGCTCAGGGTTTATTCCAATGATGTGTCTGCAAAAATGTGACTGTTTCCTCGTGCTGCGATATATTGTAATATTTTGTCCGATAGCATGTAGCGAAATAGATAAACCAAACCCGGGTTTTACTGAAAGAATCTAATTTTTGGATGAATTCAAGTGTGCATGTTGCCTCATCTTGCGACTTTAGATTGAAATTGTACCGGGTGAAAAACGTTTAGACATGTAGAAATTAAAATGAACTCCTCATGTTTGCTGATTGTTCATCATGAAAGCGTTTGTTAGTTAGAGCTGCTAAATTGTGCTACTTATCTGCTGAATAGCATGTGCGCCTCTTCTGTACGGTAATACAAACAAATTAACAACATTACTTTCTACTTTTTCCCATGCCCTTAATGAAATAAAAACACTGCTCAACAAATAATTAGCAGGATCTCAAAAGACGGAGCAAAGAGCCGATCAAGTGTGCGCAATTTGTGCAGGTGCATTTTATGTGCTACTACCCACAATGCAACAAATATTGTATAATAATGTTTGGGATGACTCATTAACAGTTTCTCAACTGCTGTATTGTAGGAATGCTTCATGATTTGGTTCAAAAAATAGCCAAAGGAGCATAATGAGTTTTTAGTAGACGATTGTTTTTAAAAATAACCATTGCCATCAACTTACAGTGATCCTTTACAGTGTGCGGAACTGTAGATGTCATGAACTGGCCAACATTCAAGCCAAAGTTTATTTTGGCCGTAAATAAACGCTAGATAACTTCCAGGGAAAGGCACTGCCACACAAAGAAAAAGGTGTACAGTCATACCTCGGTTTTCGACCATAATCCGTTCCAGAAGGCTGTTCGAAAACCGATTTATTCGAAAACCGAAACCATGCTCTTTTTAAAAAAAAAAAAAATCTTTATTGAACACGTTTGTTCACAATGGAACGCTACACGAGGAAGCGTCACTTCCTCGTGTAAGGAAGGCGAGAGGAGTCAAGTGACACATTCAAATGCGCTCAGTTTGTTCGAGAACCGAAATTCGGTCGTCATCCGAGGCATAAAAAACTTGAAATTTTTGGTCAAAAACCGATTTGGTCGAGAACAGAGACGTTCGAAAACCGAAGTTTGACTGTACTTTGTTGTTCGGACTCTTACGCAGCCTCACTTAGCAGTAGCATTGTCGCACTGTCAGCCCGAGCGTAGTTAACGGCTGACAAAGTTAACGAGCAATTTTGATGTTGCTGGGTTCAGCCTCGGTGAAGTATTTCAGCACTTAAGAGTGAGTGCCATGCCCGAAAGTGTCAAGTCGAAGCCAATCCCGTCTTTGAGGGAAGTCCATTTTGTTGGAGTCGTGTAAAAGCACTTTCAGAAGTGCAGCTCGAGGCCCAGGCTTTGGAAAGAGAGTTTCCCTTGACCTTTCTACACTCAAATCCTGTTTAAAGAGTTGCTCCTATGGTGAGTCAGCACCAGCAGTGGGTAGGGCAGCATGGGAAGGAAGAGCGAGTGTTTAGGATTGTGGCCGTTGTTTTGTAGTCTGGCGCAGAGTGGGCAGCGGAGGTGAGTGGCGTGCTGGGCTGCAGAACTTTGGATCAAAGGCAGAGCAGATGTGTTTTCAGTCCACCCCCTGCCCCAACTCCCACTCCGCAACGTCTTCTCCGCTCTGGACGGGACTTTGTGTTTACTCATCACCTCAGCACGCCTCAGTTGTTCCCGTCTCACAACAGCCAGCGCTGCAGCTTTCCCAAGGGACCGGAGCATGCAATCTTGTCCACCTGGGCCAAGTGCAGGCCTAGAATGACACGTGGTTCTGTCCTGTTTTTCGCGTCACATGGCTGCCTTGATTGTTTTGCGCAACACGAGCGCATACTGGCAGGCTTACGTTAATCCTTACAAGATGGGTGTCTCCACAAACCTCCTTGTTGAAAGCGCTATGATCTGTCTTCAGTTTTTACCAAGTCCATGTCCGTGCACGTTGGTTGATTTTGTGCAGGGGAGATATGGTGAGCTTAGAGCCTTAGACAAACAGAGCATTCTTCTTCACTCGGGTGAGGGACGGAGTCAGTGGGACTCGCTTCTCTGCAGGAGATGTTATCTGCTCCGGCAGTGAAAAAAAACTTTTTTTTTTCATTATTATCATTATTCTTGGTGCCAATTTAAACCTTTTGTATCCGTGCCATGATAATTCTGCTCATAGGCATGTGAATGAAAAGCAATCATTTATTTTTCAAAAGTCCAGTTGAGTGAGCGATTAAAACATTTCAATACGGAGCTTGAGTCATTGCGTGTGTGTTTGACAGGATCCTCTTTTGCATCTCGCCAGCTTTATGTCGTCTTCATCAAATACGATTTCGTTAGGCTTTCTTTGAATTAACAAGCTTCAGGGGTATGGAAGAGCCTCACTAAAAGAAATAAAATGAACATTTGTTATGGCATTGTAGAAGCACATTTATTATTATTATTATTATTATTATTATTATTATTATTATTATTATTATCTGCTTTTGTTTTCCCTCCACTTCTCCAGTTGCTGGAAACCCCTGGTGATGAACCATCATCAGCCATCCCTTTTCCCTCTCCGACTTGCTGTCTCGATCCTTCTCTCTCTATCTATCTATCTATCTATCTATCTATCTATCTATCTATCTATCTATCTATCTATCTATCTATCTATCTATCTATCTATCTATCTATCTATCTATCTATCTATCTATCTATCTATCTATCTATCCATCCATCCATCCATCCATCCATCCATCCATCCATTTTCTGATCCGCTTTATCCTCACAAGGGTCGCGGGCCGTGCTGGAGCCTATCCCAGCAGTAGGCGGGGGACACCCTGGACCGGTTGCCAGCCCATCGCAGAGCACACAGAGACGAACAACCATCCACGCTCACACTCACATCTAGGGACACTTTAGAGTGTTCAATCAGCGTGCCATGCATGTTTTTGGAATGTGGGAGGAAACCGGAGTACCCGGAGAAAACCCACACAAACCCGGGGAGAACATGTAAACTCCACACAGGGAGGCCGGAGCTGGAATTGCACAAATTGAACCTGGTACCTCTGCACTGTGAGGTTGACGCACTAATCACTGGACCACCGGTCTGCGTACCCCCCCCCCCTCTCTCTCTATCTATCTATCTCTCCAACATCTTTCTCTTTCCTTCCGTCTTCCACTCTTTTGAAGTTGCGCCGACACGAACAGACAGGCATCGTTTTCAGAGAACCTCCTATCGGCTTCTTGTTGATTTTTCTTTCAAGTTTATTTTCAAGCGCCGTTTATTCATAGGCAACGGATGAAAGCACATATCAAGGCTTTGCAAAGCAACTGACTACACCCACACTTTTCTCAGAATTGTTGTTGGTGGGTTGGCTGGGCATGGGTTTGTATTTGGGTCATTGTCCCATTTCCAAAGGCAGTTCTCCCCACCC